GCGGCTCCGGGGGCGCAGCGTGGTAGGCGGACCACCGGATGGGTGGGGGTTCCGGCAGAGCGTCCGTTGCCAAGCGGCGCTGCGCCTACACCGGCGACCGCGGACGGAGGGCGAGCTGCCGATGGCAACAGCGCTGAGACAGGTCCGGCCGGTTGTGGCTACTTTGCGACGCTTGTCAATGGGATGGGCGCTAACGGCGCGACCTCTCGCGCCGGTTCAGGCCGGCAATTGCAGCAAAGCAAGTTTTGAGCGATAGCGAGAGCAGGTTTTTCGGCAATTTTCGAGCCCACACTCGTCCGGGTCCAAGCGGCGGGTGCTACCGTGAGATTCACCGTCCATCGAAATGGACAGAGATATTGAACGGATCGATTGCCGACTGAAGCTATGGTAGCCGAGAGCTGCTATTACCGACTGGCTCGCCCGGTGTGACTCGGGCCCGACGTCTTTCTCGCACGCCCAGAACTTGCATGCCCAGATGATGGTTTCTATCAACTCAGAGCCTAGAAGGGAAGCCTTCAGAGAAGGAAGACGCCTGCAAAGCCCACGACACATGAGGATGAGGATTTGGTGAAAATCACGAACGATAGTCGCTTGGGAGGATTTCAGGAACAAGAGGTAGATGAAATGTCACGCACGAATGGTAAATGAAGGGAGAGAAGGACACGTGTAATGATGACACACACAATGGGAGCGATCATGAGCAGAGGGGGCTGGAGAATCGCAAACCCGGAGATCACGTCTGATACGGTTTCTAAGCAACGGCCGCAGCGTCAGCATAGCAGAAAGATCTGGACTGTGTACCCTTAGAGCGGCACTCAGATACAGGGTGTGGCCTCAACGATTGGCTTGTTGAGTGGGGAATGGAAAAGAAAGGAGAAGCTTTCGAGTAGGTACTCGGGCTACTGATAACAACATGCCATGCGATGCAGTCGTTTTCCGGGAGCCTTGCGATACACGTGGCACACAGATGTTTGCTTTGGCATCCTCTTGTTGTTCGCTCCCGAATGCTGCTGCCTGCTACTCTTGCACTGTAAGGCTTGCTGCTCGCAACTAGCAGTTAGGTGCTTAAGTTTGTCTGATGACGTGATCACCACTTCGGCGGGCGCTGAAGTACGCGCAGTGACGCCGTGAGCAGCACATTTACCGTCGAGACAGTCAATCCGGCTACCGCTGGTAGTCGCAGGTCGTCATCGTTCTTTACAATCGGCAAAAAACACGCGGCCCATTCGGCGGGTGGGCGTTAGGCTGACCCGCGTGTTCGTTACGGCGCTCAGCATGACTGGGGGAGGGGGTCGGAAGCAACATCGGTGTGTCGACCTGAAGCTGGAGCCCGCCGTCCTCCATTCGGGAGCCGCCGTCCTCCAGCCAGCCGCTCTCCAGCCGGGAGCCGCTCTCTCTAGCCAGGAGCCGCTCTCTCCAGCCGGAGCCGCTCTCTCCAGCCAGGAGCCGCTCTCTCCAGCCAGGAGCCGCTCTTCCAGCCAGGAGCCGCTCTCTCCAGCCAGGAGCCGCTCTCTCCAGCCAGGAGCCGCTCTCTCCAGCCAGGAGCCGCTTCTCCAGAGGAGCCGCTCTCTCCAGCCAGGAGCCGCTCTCTCCAGCCGGAGCCGCTCTCTCCAGCCGGAGCCGCTCTCTCCAGCCGGAGCCTCTCTCTCAGCCGGAGCCGCTCTCTCCAGCCGGGAGCCGCTCTCTCCAGCCAGGAGCCGCTCTCTCCAGCTGGGAGCCGCTCTCTCCAGCCAGAAGCCGCTCTCTCCAGTCGGGAGCCGCCGTCCTCCAGCCGGGAGCCGCTCTCTCCAGCCAGGAGCCGCTCTCTCCAGCCGGGAGCCGCCGTCCTCCAGCCGGGAGCCGCCGCTGTGGCGGCGGATGGCGGGCCGGCCTGCTGGCGCGGCGCAGGCCTCGCTCGGGGCCGCCCACGCGGCCCGGCGCCGCCGAGCGCTTTATGAATGGAGCAGCCAGCGTCGCCCGCTAATTTATGTTGGAAGTAACCTTCACCGGCGGAGAGCGGAGGGAGGTGCGGCCAGCCGACGGCGCCCCGGGAAGGCGCCGGGTACGCCCGCCGGCCGCATTACCCCCAGGCTTGGGACAGTGACGTGATGTGCAGTGAAGGGACCCTCTATTGTGAGGATTTGCTGGAAATACGATCAAGCCGAAGTCAGGATATGGGGCTTGTGAGCGGGCTCAGGATGCAGATGAGGTGGTGTGATGCGACTGGCTTGTGAACTGCGGCTGGGGCTGGGGGAGGGGCTGGGCCTGGGCTGGGGATGGCCTAGGCCTGGGCCGGGCTGTGCCTGATGCCGGTGGGTGGGACTGGCACTGTGCATTGGGACCACGCCGGAGATTGGAGCTGGGGGCTGGGGCTGGGGGCCGAGGTGGGGCCCGGTGTCGGTATGGTCCCGGCCTGGGGCCGGGCTGAGCCTGGTGCTGGACTGGGCCCAGACTGGGATGGCGCTGGGGCTGGGGCTTTGGCTGGACGTGGGCTAGGGCTGGGGTCGTCGCGCCGGGAAGACCGGCAGCTGGCGGCTCGGGCGGTGGACGTGCGGCCGGCTGGAGGAGGCACCGGGTGTGTGAAAGTTGGGTGTGGTATGATGGAGGGGGTGGGTGCGGTGGACAGTGACAAGAGGGCGGGCTGGGGTTGGCTGGGGCGGAATTACGGAAAGGGAGGGACTGAGCCCTGGGTGATTAGGAAGAGGCGTGTAACATCGAGACCCGCTGAAGTTCGGTGGAGGGAATTTTCGATTGTCACGCAGGACGCTGCCGTAAGGAGCTTACTCACGCTTGGCAGCCCATCAAAACACAGGGGATCACTGGGGATCTCGGAGGAGAGGTGACAAGTGCGGGAAAGTGAGTTCAAGTGGTGTGTGCTGAAGGGCAGGGGCTGGAGCGGGGATCCCCTTTTCCTGGGGGTGCGGCTGAGTCACGTACGTCAACAGACTTAAGGCAGGGACTGGAAGGGGGATCCCCTTTTCTGGGGTGCGGCTGGTCACGTACGTCAACAGACTTAAGGACAGGGACTGGAGCGGAGGGGATCCCCTTTTCCTGGTGGTGTGGCTGGTCCGTTTGTCAAACAGACTGAAGGAACAGGGACTGGAGCGGGGATCCCCTTTCCT